ATGACTTTTATGACCTGAACATCTATTAAAGGCCCATTATGCCTCCAAAAAAAATTATCTAAAAAAAAATCATTTTTGGTATCTTGTTACAGCTTCAATAAAATACTCATTTGCCATATACATGATTTATCTTTTGCTTACTTATGTTGCAAATGACAATCAGTATAATTGTAGTGAATTAGTATTTTGTACGCAAGTCAAAATTCTACTTTGTTTATATTTTACTCTTTTTTTTTGCTTTTTTTACTACATATAACTGCACATTCAGCGCTATTTTCTTCAGTTGTTAAACATCTAACAATCTTTAAACACATGTCTGAAATTTCTAAAGAATTAAAAAAGATATGGATTTCTGAGGCATAATGTGCCTTTAAAGTGTATATTTAGCTATGTACAGTATGTTTGTATTTTGAAAAATTATACCTCAAACAAACCTATACATGTATTTAAAAATATGTTTGCAAATGGCAAATGCACAAATCCTTGTTAAATGGTTTTAATCCTACTTAAAACAGCAGCATAATTTCCTGTTTGGGTACATTTTATACTGGTTACGCACAGAATTCATGGAGATGTTCTATGTGACAAATCTTGCAAGAATTTACTAAATGTATAAGGCTATGAAAGCAACATTTCTTTACCTTTGATAGATTAAAAAACCCATCTCATTAGATATAACTTTACATGATTGTATAAGCACATGTTATCTGCATTTTGAGAGAAAATTGGTCTGTACACATGTTTCAGAATGATTAAGAGAACTTTGACTGTCTTATTTCCCTATTTGTAAGTTTAACAATCATCAGTGAAATCATTTTTTTACACAATTTAAGAACTGATTTAAATTTGTGTTTAATTTGGCCTCTTAAATGTTATGAACAAACTTTTATAAAAAAATCACCTGCTACACAAATGAATCTGATATAAATGTAATTTAGCTTGGCCAAAGTTTCCAACTTGTATTAAAACATCATTTATTCAGATTTTTTTCCATTCTTCAAACACATCCAACATTTTCTACTTTTTAAAACAAAAAACAAAAATCTTGGTTAATTTCTTACAAAAACATATCAGCAACACTTAAAAACAAGATACAAATAATTTTTCAGGATCTGAACCCTCGACCTACACATCCTAAACAAGGGTCTCACCTTACCTAATATACTTATCATAAAAAGTCTCAGAAGTAAACCAAATGCTTAATAATTCAAAATTTCCATTTTAATCTTTAGCAAAAATATTAAAAAGAAAATCAAAATACTTATTTCAAACTCAAAACTTGCTCTGGAAACTGCCTTGTTTAGAAGGGATCCTCTGTATAGGAAAATTCCTTGTAAATGAAGAGTACTTCAATTTTCATTGACTTTCTAAAGTTGTTTTTATAATACCATTCATTTACTTCTTTCTACATCTACTTTAAATACTAATGATGCTATTTCTATAAAGTGTAACACTTGGCATTCAAAAACATGGTAATTTTTCCATATACTAAAAAACCTTCAAAAGAAAATTGCAATCATAAGAACATGAAAAACAAATTTGCAAGAAAGCAATTTCTATTCAAAACAGTTTTATTATTTGTATTATTATCCAGTAGCAAAATTAGCATACTTGTGTCAACAGTCTTATTATTGGAAAAACAAAGTACAAAGCTACATAAAACAATGGAATAAAAGCACATTAGTAAGGCAAACTGTTAGGCCAAATAAAAAATTTGTAACAAGAGCTAGTAATAATTTATCATTTATGTCATATTGAGATGCCTGGCCTGTGGTGATTATTTAAGTTTCTGGGTATTGCAAGATTTATTTTAAACAAGGCACTATAAAACCGATTGCTGAATAAAGAAGAACGTGTTTGATAAAACACAAATATGCCTTGGACCAGATTATTGTCAGTAACGATTTTCCAAAAAAAGTTAAACCTTCACTCAGTTACAAACAGAAAATTTGCCAACAAAAATAAAATTGCAACACAATAATATAACTTGACAGCCTGTCAAGCAATTTACTAGTACTTGCTGCCTTCTCTTTGGCAAGAAACTGGTAACTTCTGTATGTGCCAGAGCAGAGGTATAGTGTGAATGACCGTAGAAAGGATTTCATGATCAATCAAAACGAAAATGACCTGAACTGTACAAGAAGCAAACCTGGGTGGCCAGATTTACAGTCCAACACTCAATCTATTGAGCTAACCTAACAGCTATAGCATAACACTGCCCATGTGAGTATGAAATTTAGACCCAGTCTCACAAGTGATATGCACAAATAACCAATGAAATATTATATAAGGCCTCATAGTTAAAGAGTTTAATTTCAAAACAAAGTTCATATATTAGATTTTTTTTTTTTTTTTTTGGTTGGCTTTACATCGCACCAACACAGTATAGGTCAAATGGCGACTTTCCAGCTTAACTGGTGGTGAAACACCGCAGGTGCTCCTCTGATCATTGACACTGCACAAGGTAGCTAGATAGCTTTCTTACATGGAGAATTTGAAGTCAAAGAACCAACTCGAACTTACAGTGGTGAGAGGCAAGTGGTCAAAGTCAATGACTTTAACCACTAAGCCATGGATGCCCCTACAAACATTTTTCAACATAATTATGTTCAACCAAGCTTAAAATTTTTATAAAAAAAAATCAAGCTAAAATAAATATCTAAATACTTAACTAAATACCTAAATATCTTCACTAAATACAGTGTAAGCAAGTAAAACAAAGAGATAGGAAACTCACTTTCAGGTAGATTTTCCTGCAGATATCTATAGGCAGATTCTAGCTGCTCTTTATCTTCTGACTCTAGAGTAAGCTTCACTTTGTAATAGCTGAAACACCACGTAAAAAGAGAAATTATTGTTCATTATCAAGTTATACATTGCCTTACATTATATAACTATTTCATTACTTTTCTGTATAAGGGGAGGGTACTCTTAAAACAAATTTATAATCTCATTTCAGAAGCATAGCTCAAAATAATATTTTTTAAGCTTGTACAATCTGTTTTGGTTCTGTCTTCTTTTTGAAATAGTGCACACAAGATCATCCCCCTCTGGCAGTATAGCTGGTAAAAACAGACAATATATGCTAAACAGAACTGATTTTGAGAATAAGACCTATCATAAGATGCTAGAGGCATTTTGTAGCACAAGTGGTATCTTGATATATTAAGGTGGATACCGAACTGAATTACTTGATCTTGACCATTTAAATGGCCATTTAAAGTGACCACTTAAAATACAGCTAAAAAGTGTTTATCATAAATAGATAATATACTATAGAAACTGTTGTAGAATCTCCAACATTCTATGAATATGCATCATAGCTTCCTGACTTGAAGAATTCAAATTTTTCTATTAGGAGGCAATGATAGGAGGCAAATGATTTAAAGTCAGCAGACCTAATAGCTAGGCAAAAAAGGCCGAGCCTAATGTTTATTCTGTGTATATTTACCTGTTAATAAAGTCCGGGTACGACCCTAGAGTGACATGCTTCTTGAACAAGGAGTCAGCTTCATTAAGCACTGGGGTGATAGATATCTCGTCTAGATGAATATAGATCTCCTTCGTGTGTATCTCTATGTCAGGATTCTTAAAATGATCCTAAAATATATAAAGACATGAATAATTAACTGGTACTATGCCGGAACCAAAAGTGATTAGCCTTTGCCACCAGTATAGAGCCACGCCATCCATGATCTATCTAGGCTCTATATTGTTTGTTTGTTTGTATTACACAGTATAGGTCATATGGTGATGTTCCAGCTTTACTGGTGGAGAAGACCTCAGGTGCACTTCCGTGCATTATTTCAGGCACTTACGGCACCTGAGAAGAACCACTGACATTCTGTAAGCTAGCTCGATAGCTTCCTCTCATGAAAGAATCAAAAGTCCCTATCAAGATTAGAACCCACAGTGTTGAGGGGCAAGTGGTTTGAAGTCAACGACCTTAACCACTTGGCCATGGACGCCCCTATACTGTTGGTAGTTAAGTTATTGTACATGTATTTCGATAATAAAATTCTTTAATTTTCAAATATATGGACTGTTCCAAATTCAAAGCAGGGCAAAAATGGGAGTGGTGGCCTTGTGGTTAAAGTGTCTGCCTCTCAACCAAGGGATCAGGGTTCAAGCCCTACTCATGTCATGACCATGTTTCTTCATATGACACCAGTACTGGTTGGTTCCAGGAAGCAGACTCAAAATTGATTACACAATTGAGCTTAAACAGATATGCTTAAACAAAAGCAGGGCAAATCATTACACAATTTTAGCAGGTTAAAGATTAATCAATTCATGATTAATTTCTCATAACAAGAATGTAATTACTTATTAAAAGATATTCTAAATTGTGTGAAATTAAGACTGGACCTGGAGGTGTGTTGCTTTAAACACAATGAGGAAACACTTACTTTGAGCAAAGGAAAAGCATGTTCAAGTATTGAAGGCACACCAGGGAATAGGTAAGTATTTCTAACATTGACTAGAGGGTATTTTGTCTTCCTTCCGGTTGATACATCCTCGCCATATAATAATTTTGCCGACTTTGGCACCTGCGATGAAAAGTTTACAATTACTTTATGGTAAAGTAGCACAATATGAATAATCAACCTTTATCTGTGACTGACAGAAAACAAAAGCAATACAAGAAATTTTAAAGTTCCAAATGGGAAAAAAAATTGAACAAGAGCTGTCCGTAAGACAGCGCGCTCGACTTTTTTATTGCTTGCCAATAAAAAAAGTTTTTGCAGTAAAAGGCAATACAAGAATCTCTGTATTTTTAAAGTGAACTAGTTGTTTGATACCCTTGAATATTACAGCAATGTTTATATGACATAATTTATGGTAAAGTGAACAAGTGGATAGGAATGAATTTTTTTAGATTTTTTAAGTTTTTTAGTGCTTGCCTATAATACAAAACATTGACAGTTAAGGGCCATAATTCAAATAAAATCTTTGACAGAATTACCTTCTCCTGGACATGTTTGGGAATCATGATTGTAAACAAGTATTCCAACTTTCAAATTAATATCTCAAACAGTTCAGTCAAAAAGTGGACTGGTACTAAAAACTTAACCAAGATTCTAAGTCGATAAAAGGCCTTAATTTTAAAACAAATCCTTGACAGAGTTACCTTCTCTTGCGTACAGATGGGGGTAATGATGTGAAATAGCATTAAAAGTTTCAAAGCAATATCTCAAAGGGTTAAGGCAATAAGTGGATTTTACCCATATTCAATGTATTTTCTAAGTCAAAAAGGGGCATAATTCTGTCAAAAAACCTTGACAGAGTTATGTCCTCTTGTCTGTTGATGAAGGTCGTGATGGTAAACAAGTATGGTCAGTTTCAAAGCAATACCTCCAATGGTTTTGAAATAAAGTGAGGTGGTACAAAAAACTTAACCAAGCTCAATACACTTTCTAAGTCAAAAAAGGGCCATAATTCTGTCAAAAACCTTGACAGAGTTATGTACTCTTGTCTGTAGATGGAGGTTATGATGGTGAACAAGTATGGTAAGTTTCAAAGCCATACTTGTAATACTTCTGAAATAAAGTGGGGTGGTACGAAAAACTTAACCAAGGTGTGACGCCAACGCCGACGCTAACGCCGACGCCGACGCCGACGCCGGGGCGAGTAGGATAGCTCCCCTTTTCATAGAAAAGTCGAGCTAAAAATGCATACTGGAGCTATGATTCTTGGTCAGTGATCTAAAATACTGACACTAATAACATATGTAAAATATTCAAATTAAAATTCAACTGAAAATCATCTTTAAAAGTTGAAAAGATTGAACTTATACTAAACATATTTTTCTCTCATTCAATCCAAATTCATTCTGGAGTGAAGGGTTTTAAATAGGAGTGTAGAATCACAATAGTGGATAGTTTTTAAATACTTTACGTGGTTAATAAGTAAGCATGTTATAAGCAAAAACTGTAACCTATTGCTATGCAGACAAGAGGATAAGTTGGGCAGTTAAACTAAAAAATAGATTTTTGTTCTTTTATTGAAAAATCATTTTGTTCAACCCTTTCCTTTTAACTGGCATCAAAAAACTGACAATGCACATGTTTTTTTCTTTCTTACTTCTAGGACAATACCTATAGTTGTGGCTTCATGACATCATTTTCAAAATAGCTTGACATAATGAGACATCTAGATAAATTCCAGTCTAAAACAAGCATCACTGGTATTTAGTATAATCAGGATAATGTTAACATACCTTAGCCATTTTCAGCTTTGGAGAATTCAGATCATCAGTGCCAAAGTATTTCTTACACAATTCAACAAGGTGGGGGTTAGGCTCCACTGGCTCGCCAAATGCCTTTCCAACACCTACAACAATAATAATTAGCACTTATAATTGACCTTTCTTTCAAGTTTTAAAAATACATGTATTTTGTGATTTATTAAATTAAAATAAGACAAAAACTTAATTTTTCTCTAAACTGTTCATCTAAACACTAAAGAAAACAATATAAAACAGCTGAACACTGATCTTAGATCATAGCATGGAGCTAAATATAGATCTGGGATTATAGTGAGAAGTGTTTTCTAAAATGTTAACAAATAATACATCTACAAAGAAAAACATGGAAAATCAATACAAACTGAAATATTTTTATGAGAAATGAATTCTGTTATGTTTACCAGTTGAGTTAAAAAGTTTAATTGTAACACTTATGCGTAAAACAAACTGTAATGTTTCCAAATACACATCTCAATTTATATCATATTAACAGAAATGTGTATGAAAAATTACACATATGGAAGGAAAATAAGTCCTGTCATAGAAAGATTCTATTTATAATGTAAAAGCAACATACTTTCAAACGTGAGATCATCGTGAGTTGGTCCAATGCCCCCGGATGTTATAACATATGTATACTTGGATGAAAACTCCACAATTTCTTTAGCAATTGTATCAATATCATCAGGTACCACAGAGATCTGCAAGAAACAAAATATCATAGCACAAAATATGAGAAAATATTCTCTGTTCTGAAAAAGGGCAGTTTAAAGCAGCAATATTTATAATAGAAATGTCCAAAGTTCACATGGATTATTGATCATTTTTGTACAGTAAGATATAAAATTGATCACAATTATGGCAAAAAAATATAACTTATTATGGACTTTTTACCTGTGAACTCAACACTGAGACGCAGGGTGGATATAATGTCACTTGAAAACTATTCAATATCCGTCAAAATATTCTGTTAAAGGCTTATTGTAAAATGAATATTAAACAAACCTTTTTAACTTTCACTCCCCAGGAAAACAAATGCTTGGTCATGAAATGCGTGTTTGTATCAGCCACTTGACCTTTCAATATTTCATCACCAATGACTGAAGAAAAGAATAGATATTTGTATTTTGTTCAAAGAAAAGGCAGAATCATAACTTATTTCAATTGCTTCAAGGTTGGTATATAGCTTGTATTATGCTTTTATGTGTACTTTGAGTTTGTTATATTTTTGAAAGTTGCTTCTTAAGGACGTTTTTAGGAGTTTTCATATAGATATATAGGCAAAATTAAAACTGTGTCAAACTACATACAGACTGTACAGTCCTGATTTATGAGTCACCTTGTCCAATGGTCCAGTCGTCCTTGACTTCTTATTCCCACTGTCATTAGAATTCTTAATCAATAGAAAACGAAGGTTTTTGTGCTCATTTATGGCAATTTAGTGTTTAAATCCATTCTAATATTTGTTGTTGTTAAGCCTATGCTTAATGAGGGTCCATCAGCCTGTTAAGGCACTAAATGCAGTTTACGTTGTGGAGTATAGACCCCGGACATTTCACATGTTATGCCGGCAAAATTTGAAGCACAAAGAGATGATAATTAACCTCCATGCAATTTCCACAGAGTATTGATCCCAAGATATCATTTTGGGCCAAAAGTAGGTGGCTGTATGACGGCCAAGGATGACTTAAATGTACAGTAATCTGAGGCAATAGGAAAAGGGCTAAAAAAGGGCTATTATGTCAGCTAAGGGCATGCCTTCAAGCCATTGCTATCTTTGCAAGGGCTCACACACCATAGTACATTTTCCTCAACATCCCTGCCTACTTTGTAGGGCTATTCTCCTCAGCATTATTCAGGACATCGGCAGCTGACTTGATGATTAAGATAGTAGCTTAACTCCCCATCTAAAAATGTGTATTTTGGTCTCCCTATATGTAACACAACAGCACTTGCAGCTTTACCTGTCAACGTGTCCTTGATGATAAATCAGCCATATATTGTGCTAAAGCTTATATATAGGGTCCTGTGGTGTTTTTTATCTTATCCAATCGTTTGAGAGGGGAATTGAACTCGTACATATAAAAATTAAATTACATAATAGCAAAAATGTCTAAAACATCTGTCTTACTCCTCGTTGTGTATCATGATAATATATACGGTAAGCATGATAGTTAAACCATTATGTGATACATGTCAAATAGTAAATCGTCATTAAAATGTATGAAAATTAATTAGATCTACCAATGATCCCTGCTGAATAATCTTTAGCAGTTTCATCTTTCTCAGAATCAGACATTTTATTCACGGCTTGCGCTCCAGAACAAAAATGATTTTTGATGACAGTTATTCTTCTACTGGCTGATGCTAAGTTTTGCAGTTTCCCATACAATGTCAACATGTCAACGAATAAATGCGCATGATTTTGTCATATTCTTAAAAGTCTTTAATTTTTGACAAGTTCAGATTTTCTACCGATGGTAAAATGTACAAGATAAATGTCTTACGATCACCGGCTATAAAGGCAAAATTCGGGTACGTTACGATACCGAAATCAACTTGATTTCGGTAAAGTTACCGAAATCAACTTTTCATTACCGAAATCAACTCGTAAAAACCAAACTAGTTAAAATATTGCTATTACTTCTTCATTTTTTGATGAAAAATAATGAAATAGACTTTCAGTTAAAAAATCTATTGAAAATATTTTATTTTAATGATGTTATTAACAAAAATGTAATTATTGAGTTACTTCCCTTTGTTCTAAACAACCCGTTATGTGTTTAGCATTACCGAAATCAGCTGTGAAGTTTAAATTATGTCTATAATTAGTAGATAATAGATTAGATAACTCTAGTAGAGCTCTATTTTATAGACATATTTCTGTTTTTAAGTTTCAACCATATCTAAATATTATCAATGTTGAACGGTTTTGTAAAGATCTCACTAGATTGCATATAGAATCAGGTAGATGAACTAAACCAAAAAGTAGAATTTTAATGATAGAAATTGCTTTTCATGTAATGTCTTAGAAGACGAATAACATTTCATATTAGAATGCAATGTATATAATGATTTAAGAAAAAGTCTGATACCGCCATATTAGCATGTTATATATCTGCACGTGATTGTCGTGCATAACAATTTTCTAATCAAATCGTATTTTTAAAAAGCTATGATCGGACTATGATGGAAAAATAAAATACTCTGTAATATGAGTTAAAGATATTCATAAATTTTGTACATGTTTAATTATGTTTTATGAAGAAAAAATATCCAACTTCAACCGGAAGTTTGTGATTTTCTATTATAAATTTGAATACAGATATATAATTCGACTGCTCTAAAAATGTTCCATAAAAATTGTATAATGTATCAGGCAGTAAAATTGGAAATTGGAAAGTTTGTGTCTTTTTTTTATTGAACAGTTAAACTATATATTAACAAATCGCTAACATATGTTATGGGGACTCTTTATCATTATATTTTTAAATTTTAGTCATTTATTTAAATGTTTATTACGACATAAACAGATGGTTCATTATAATCTTTTATCTTTAACATACATTGTTTACCAACTGTCCCTCCTGTCTTAATTACTTCACACCTTACTTAATACAGTAATACACAACATGTCAAATCGTACAAGTTACAGCATTTCATAATTTAAATTTGTCAGTATAAAGTGTTCCATTTTTTCCATCATATAAATATATACCAGTCATTCCATAAATGTATGCTGTTTACAGATATGAAATTTAAAATGATTTTAAATCGATCAACATAAAATCATGACTTAACACTTTTTCAATAAGTAGAATATGTAGTTAAGTATCCGGGACATCAAAACTTGCATACATTTTTGGAACAACTGATATAGAATTTGGTAATAATAATATCAAAGCACCTTGTCTCATATAATGTATACCGAAATGTTTTCTACGGAAACGTATAGCGACCACCCCTATATGTTAGTTAAAACAGATCTTTTGACAATTTATTTAATATAATATTATATTTTTACCAGCTTACTAGATCTGAAATATTTATACTATAAAACTATTAAAAAAAAGTCTTTTGATATATATAATATAGGGATGGTCGCTATACGTCATTTTATATTAAACTGTAATGTACTTTTTGTCTTAATGGAGACAAGCAGCTTTAATTTCATGTTAAAAATAATCATGTCTAATTATGTTGTTTTGTGACAGACCAAATTTATGTAAATGTAACTATTTTCATCGTTTGTCGATAAATAAAAAGAAAGATAATATAAAACGAAATTATACCCTTAAAAAGTGTCTAAATTACGTGACTCTCCACGGTTTTTTGTGGTAACATATTTACTAAGAACTTTAACAATTTGTGGTTTTGATACATTGTTAATTGAACGTACTGCAGTTCAGCAAATGATATGAATAAATACTCTTTTTACGAATTATTTCACCACTCAAATTATATATACATTGTATATTTGTTTAAAGAGCCTCTACTAACATTGTATTTATTACTAACCACATTTATTCATGTTAACATGAAATGTGTGTAATAAAGGAAATTTGACTTGACTTTGACTTTGATACTTTAAAGTTTCCATGCGCCGATGTATATTAAAGGATTGCGGTGAACGAGTATGTTATGTCAACTAACACCTCCATTGTCCGAGCACGTGTATGCTTGCTCCTTATTAGTAAAGGTGTTATGATGAATGGCTACCGCTACGTCTTTTTATTTTAATCAAATCATAATCATTGGATTTAAATTGAATACTGTGATAATTTCCAATCAACTATTTCTGAAATTCATGCAAAATATTTAGGGGTTGTTCTCATCTTTGAAATGAACTCTGATTTGATTTCGGTAATGCAACACATTAATAACAAGGGAAGTAATCATGATATGATATACATATCCGTCTATAACATCATCATTTTTATAATTAAATATTATTTTCTTTTGTTTATGGTTCAGTTTGAATGACTTTATATTAATCAATTAAACAAGATCTATTAAAATGTTTATTTTAACTTTTACAAGCCGATTTCGGTATGGTAACATATATTTCGGTTCGTGACAAATCAGGGAAGTAATCTTTATGTTTAGTTATTTGTTTCTAATTTCATTATAAATAATTATTTCGAACTGATTTTTTGCATGAAAGTCAAACTAAACCTATTGTAATAGATTATAATGAAAAAAATATAATAGAACGCTTAATTATGATTTTACAAGTCGATTTCGGTATTGTAACATATATTTCGGTTCGTGACAAATCAGGGAATAATCTTGATATTTAGTTATTTGTTTCTAATTTCATTATAAATAATTATTTCGAACTGATTTTTTGCATGAAAGTCAAACTTAACCTATTGTAATATATTATAATGAAAAAAATAAAATAAAACGCTTAATTGTGATTTTACAAGTTGATTTCGGTAATGAAAAGTTGATTTCGGTAACTTTACCGAAATCAAGTTGATTTCGGTATCGTAACGTACCGGCAAAATTCCACTAAATTATTTTTGTCTAGGTTATTGAGTACTAAATTTAGTTTCTGTCAGGGCCATCACAACTTCAGCGAAGTGTTACTTACTTACTTTATATGTACACAGCAAAGTCATACAAAATAGCTATGATAAGTATTTTTTTAAGCCGTCAAAACTAAGAGATAACTATTTATTACCCTTCCAGATTTGTTCCGCCTTTTTGATTGGATATTGATCACCCGAAAGAAATTGATATAACTGAGCCAGACGGGTAATATACACACTAAATTTCCCCGTTTGGTACCCAACGTTGTAAACAACATGCGCTGAGGTGATGCGCGTACGGTTCGATTTTACGCGGTGTAAATTCCGATTTAAAAGCACTTTTTAACTGTCAAATGATCAATATTTACCAAAGAAGAGTAATGATACATATTACCATCAGTATCGAAAACAAATATGACCTTGTGAAAGCTTGATATTAATTACAAAAAAGTGCGTTCAATAGACTACTCCTTTTCTTTTGTTTACTTTCGTAAGGTACGGGAAAAATACGTCATGTATTTATGTGACGTCATGTTGTGACGAAGAGGTATCCTAAAGGGAATCTTATTTCGACGTTTCATTTGAAACAGCAATGATTTTTTAAAAAATCGTCTAAACTCGGCAGGGGAAGGGTAATAAAATTATTATTTTGGTTTTGGAGTGATATATGTGGATATATTACCTGCCAAGATAAAATATCACGCTCGCCTAACGGCTCGGGTGATATAAAATCTTAACAGGTAATATATCCACATATATCACTCCAAAACCAAAATAACATATAATACACCAATTTATATACTCTTACATTTGGACTAGATGATAACACCGTCTTAAAGAAGTGTGTAGAGCTATGACTTTTATACAGTCATCGAATAAAAACTTAAAGTGACTAAAAATTCTACTGAAATCTGGATCAAAAAAGACTTCCATGCTAGCATAACTATTAAAATTCGATCACATATATACCTTTTTGCTGCCATAATTTGTTCAGTACACCAGAACAAAATACTGATGAACTTTTTCCTTAGCTAACAATAACTATTGGCATTCCTTATAGTCACTTAATTAATATTATCTTATTGGTGCAAACAAAAGCGAATTTTTAGCTTCAATTAAAGCATTATTATATATAAATACATTATTTATTATATAACCATAATGTACGTTTCCTAGTTCCAGGAAACGGACTCGGGAATTGCTCAGTTAGAACTTAAATCAAGATATTTTACTAAATAAGTAAGAGTAGACATTAAGTAGACTACAACAAATCATACTCGGCGCTTCATCGCCTCGTGAGATCCTAGCATAATTAAATCCACTAGTCAATTAAAAGTTGTAGATCAAGATACTCACACATGTTCAACCTATTGATCAACTGCCCTGCTTAATATTTACTCTTCTTCGTTAAAGTACGAACTGAAAAGCGTTAAGTTTTTCACCTTTCATTTTATATAGATCTAGCAGCCTTTGACTTTAATTGATTGCTTGAGTTACATCTCGTGGCAACAGCATGTTATCTTCGTATTCAATCTTTACTCAAGTTCTTTCTTTTATGTAGATCAGAGACATAGTTATTTATGTCTCTGGTAGATCTGATTGCCACCGTGTGTAAATGTACCCACAAAGATGAGTCAATTAAAATTAATTACTAGGACACAAAATGAAATTTTAGGATAATACTTTTTTGAGAGGCATGAGTAATTAATCAAAACTTATTTCGTCATGGACCTTTACTTTAGCTGTGGGTTATCGGTTATAATTTTGATCCGTAGGAATTGACCGCGAACGATTGACATGTTTCGCGCAAATATTCCAGTCAAAATGGCATGGGTTTTTTAAAGCAATGTCATAAAGACTACGAAAAAAATATGATAAACATTGTAAACAACTTCAGATGCTGTATTTAAAACTGTTGTCTTCATATGAACCAAACAATTTCAAGTAAATTCAAGACAACTTGAGAAGAACTGTCTACAATTTTAAATAATAGTAAAAAAAAATAAGTAATAATGAACATGTTATGTGCGATTAATAACTGATTTTGCTGTATTTATCACTAAATATATGCCGTGTGACTAACGAAGTAAGGACTATTTTGCACTAATTTGACCTCTGTTTGGTAATTTACGTAGATTGTAAGTGCCGTCTGCAAATTGTAAATTGCTTTTTTCGTTCACTTCACAATATTTTACTTTCAAATAAACTTGAAAATCGCGAAAAAAAGACCGCACTGTTACGGATAGAACTTGTACTTGGAAATGCGAACTGTCATTTGGTTTCTTTAATTTTGTACAATCTCATTTTTTATAATCATTATCAATATTATAAACCGAGAAAGATCAATATCGGTGATTTATATGGTGATAAACTAAATATGCGAACTTTCTGACGCATTTTATCATTTATGTGTCAATCGACATATGGGCTCGTAAAAGTGACAACAAAGCAAGATTTATGCTTAAAAGGTAGTTACAATGGTATAAACAAGAAAACAATGAGAATAATCTTCTCATAATTACTTGAACTGTAACTAATCAAACAGTAGTGTGCTGGCTAGGTTCGTCGAAATTAGCTTTTTAATGATAATGTTTAAGAAGTAAAAATTTGCTATCTGAAGGATATAACATTCAGGTAGGTTAATTCTAAAACAGTTTTACTGAATAAATTTAATCGATTAAATATGTAATTATTTTGCCACTGTTAATGATTTAGGCCAATTAAGCCTAAAAATAACATTATTTTTCAAAAAACTGTTTATTTTTGATGTCCTTTTACAGTTTCCCAAAAGTTACACATTGGCAATAATCCATAGCCCTCTTTTGCACTTAGGCAGTTAAAGTACAGTTGTATTGAATTATTATTTTGTATGAAAGTCAAAATACCACTTTGTTTACATTTTGCTATCTTTAAAATTATCAGAACTTATTTCGCATTTAACGCTATTTCCTTCACGTGATGAGCTACTCACATATTCAAAATCCATTATCAGATTTTCAAACACATGCGTACCGTTTCTATATAAAAGATTATTCATTTTTGAAGTATAATGTGCCTTAAATCTGCTGAAACCGAAATTGATTTACCTTTGCCACCAGTAGAGCCAGGAAAGCTTGCGGAAGTCTGATCAAGATCTATACTATTGGCTAACTATCTGATAAATGTTCTATCTTGATATGCCCAAAATTGAAAATAGACAGTTCCCAAAACGGAAGCTGGAAAGTCAATTTAAAAAATCAGGCAATGGTTTACTTTTGAGCGGCTGTTACGAAAAATCAAACGCATACATACAATCAGTTGTTCTTTTTTTCTATAGTTTTGTACAAATATATTGTCCGAAACTTTTTTCATTATACATATCTGTTTTTTTATTCTACCTTTCAGAATGGAAAACGCAACACATAATACGTCATACGACGTAACCATAGGGGCTACAGATACCCAGCTCGTTGTTATCAAAACTTTTACTGTTACCATAGCAATATTGGGAACTCTTGGAAACACCATCATGATTTCGGCTATTTTATATGGAAAACTCTACAAATTCTCCATATATGTGAAAATTCTTAACCTTCTTGTTTGTAATCTCATCCACTGTGCCATATTTCTACCTCTTATAGCTATCCAAGCGTTTACGGGACGTCTGATGACGGAAAATATCGTCTGCAGCTTGATTTCTTACGGACTGTTCTGCAACCTCGGTACGGAGTTGTTCGGATACGTTTGTATTTCTTTTAACAGATACGCGTGTATAATCAACCAAAAACTATACAATAAACTGTACGGAAGTCCATATTTACTTATTATCGAATGGATAATATCGTGGTCGATATATCCCGTGATTCTAGCTTTCCCGCTTTTTGGAATATTCAGCCATTACGAATACGCCCCTATGAAACTCGTCTGCCATCCTTTTCTTGGAGTAGACTGTACCGGATACTGCCTATTTGTGTTTCTTTTCGCTATTTTGACGACGGTACCCGTTATAGGATTTTGTTACCTACAAATAATCTTGGTGTACGTGAAACTCCAACGGAAGATTGCTTCCAGTAGAGATAATTCTAAAAATAGCACGGGATCAGGTTCGCAGACGTCAATTGAAAGGAAAAGCGGACATGGCAGCAAGTACATGACACACCGCAAAAAGGCAGAAATTAAAATGGCATTTATAATTCTAGCCATAATCCTTTTCTTTGGAATGTGTCGTCTGCCTTTTATCACACTATACATCTACGACCCATCGATGGTGAAAGTAGATCCATTAATTCATACGCTGGTAATATACATTGGGTCCAATTTAAACTGGATAAACCCAATCGTATATGCTTTAACAAACACGCAAATCAGGCATTCCTTACAAAGCATGGTGACTGCATGGAAACGCAAAATCTTCCCGACAAAATTTTGAATATTTTGTGTAACTTCTATAATTTTCTTGTACAAGTTTTTACAATCCATTTTCGTTTTAAGTATACCTCAAGCTCTCACTAGAAATAAAGATAATTATTATTCAAAATCTAAGTTTTATTATTAGTAGTATTATACTCCAAATTTAATATCAAACCTTTAAAGGGAAGTAAATTTATAGTCACAAAATTTGTGCCGAATAACCTCCCCTAGCATTCTACAAGCAAAAAGTTTAATTCAATATAAATTAATAATGTGAATAAAATTAATACACGACATCTTAACTGAATAAATAGCTTCAACATATTAGAAAACAAAGTGATTTTTTTTGCGTTATAATTTATTTAGATTTTGTTTGTCTAACAATGTAATGCATAAAGTTGATATTACATATCTATTAATTATACATGTATGTACAATGACATGAAAATATAAATAAATTTTAAAACTTTTTATATTGTACAATATTGGTGAAAACTGCAGCTAAAAACATGGAAATATTTTGATACATTGTACACCTTTATGGATATTTTTTACATTGCAGAATCTATCATTTTTTTAATCTTTCATAAAAATGAAATTCTATTGACTAAAAGACCCATATTCATGATATTGTCCCAGAAATGTTTTTATTCTTATTTTTGGCTGATCTTGGTCTGCACTGGTATATTTTATTTTTTGAATATTTTAAAAACGTTTTTGTTTTGTTATCTTATCATACACAGCTTTAAATAATCACAACTACATATACATGTAATAGAAAAAATATGTACAGAAGTCTTTGATACAAATGTTTTTGTCAACCAAGTTAGTATGAATAAGATGTACTTGATCTTTATAGTAAAATCATTTTATAATTTTGTTTCCAGTTGTCATCATATGATCTTTTGAAAATCATATATCAATATACTTGATTAATTTATCATTTAATATGTGGATTTGCATGTACTACATAAATTATGACAATTTCATCATGACTAAAAGAAAACAAATAAAAATACATGAAGTTTAGTCATGACAAGACTTTGTATCAAAATGTGATAAAATACATGTACCTTTATTCCAAAAATAAATGGCTGACTGTACAAATAAACCTGCCTCCTATATTAAAGTTACAGTATCATTCCATGGAGTAATAAAACTTAAAAATTCCATTCAGGGTTTAGAGGTTCAAGTTCAAACTTTATTAGTAAGATAGTTTAGAATTTTTCTTGATGTAACAATTTTAAGACTACACCTTCTATAACATAAATTTTCAAAGTGTAGTAAGTCAATTGTATATAATTAAAACCATGATGTCTTTAAGAAACAATTCTTGCCCCTGTCCTTCATTTCTTCATCCTGCATTATGCCTGCATTGCCGCGCCCTCTTTCTTTGCCTCCAATGAAAGTCCTGACCCTGAGAATCCCGATGCTCCCTAATAAATGAAAAATAAATATATATTTTTTTTTTTAATATCTTCTCCAAATATTTCCTGTTTAAAATTAAGCCCAACTTATACTCACTCGTAACATACAAAGACATGCCAGTTTGTAGTGAGCCTACAGAAACTTTAGAAATGGATTTGATATGATTTTGTAGGAATTTTAAATTAGACCACCTTAAGAATCTGAATAAAAGAGCTTATGAAATTTATGTACTTTTTTCTTGTTTAATATTCTGGCATAATCTTTGTGTTATTATTTGCTTGATTAATCTGCTGGAACCAAAAATAATTAGCCTTCCCCAAACAGTATAAATCCAGACCAGTTTGAATGTCCATGCTGTCTGACCAGGCTTAATATTGTAGCTCAATTTTCATATTATGGTACTAACATCCCTTTAACATCAAATGAACTGTTCCAAATTCAAAGCAGGGCAAATCCACTACATAAATTCAGCAGGTGAAAGGATATAAGCATGAATCATAAAAATAACGTATTCATATAATATATTACTAATAAGTAATATACTCATTATTTATCTGTCATAAGATTCAATATCAGTCAGTTGGTAATAATCATCTATTGATAGATACGCCTTAGCCAATGAAAACTTAATAAAATTTCACACATGTACATAAATCACAAAATGACAATGTGTTTACAAGTAAGCCTAATTAACTCATGTTTCCCTCTAAGTCAATGACACCATATATTGTTTTGTATCAAAAATATCATAAAGATGATTTGTTATTGACGTTAATGATCAAAATATTTGGTTAAAGTGTTAATGACTATACCAAATATGGTCGTTTATAATACAATGCACTGCACGTTTGTAACATCGCTTTTTATTGAATAATCATGACGTATAATTATATAATTTATAAACATACCTGGTGTCAATATATATGAAGTAATTTTTGTTTTTCCTCAAATTAATTAATTATACTGTAATATATAAATTCATTATAAAGATTTCTGTGGAAATGGTTGTTTGCAATATAACATTAAATTGCAACAGTACAATGTTATCAACGGTCCCATGTAATTTTACAGGTTTCAATATCAAAGAATTTTAATTGAGCAGTCAAAAGTAGAGACTGGCCAGATTGCACAGGTATAAGATATTATTTTATAGAGCGTTTCAGGTACAATCAAACATCATACAATTAAGTCCCAGAATAAAGCATCACTTTGTTTTGTTCTTATTCTAGTAACACCTATCATTGAATTTATTTCTCCGATAAGACATTCTCTCTTAGAAATATTGGTATTAATGTTTCTACAGGATAAAAAGCTTTATAAAAGCTAAATTATGTATACCGGACTTGCCTTGTTTTGAATTTGAAACAGCTCATCATCATTTTAACAGATTAACTGGGGTAAATAGGTCAGTCTGGTCAGAATTATCATTTGCAGACTAACCTTGCAGGGGTTTGTTTTGCCTTATTTGATAGTCAATATTCGGTCATATTCCCAACTGAAAATAGTATATTATTTTCCCAATCCACAGGAAAAAATTTCCAATTGAAAGTTACAAAATTAAAATATTGAATAACAAATTCTAAAATCTTTGAAATTAAAAGGCTTCTTCGCTCTTATGGTGCTTAAATGTTTGAAAATGCCATCCTAGACAGTGATTCTTTGCATTTATTTAATCCCTGCAAAATTTAAGTCTGCATTTTTTCCAAATTTTTAACAAAATCTTGCTAAAATTCCCAATTCCATGGGTATGGGTCATGTGGAAAAAAACACCTGCATTGCCTGGCTTATTTACTTGTGAAATGGGTCAGACATTTAAGCCACTTGCATTCCAGCATTCAACAACCAATTAAAAAATTAATTTGTTTCTTATCTTAATGGTACTTTTATTCAAAATTTTATATTTGATGGTTGCCATGGTAACTCACCCTCTGTAGTACAATGATATCTTTTTCTGTCATTTTTTTACTATTTATAGGATCCAACATGTCTTTCTTGATGAGTTTCTCCACACAATCCATGGTCACTACACATCCACTGAAAATAAACAATCTTATGTATCGCAGTTGCAAAATGAAAGAAACAAAAAGAAAGGTGTTAGTTCTCAAGCAAAATGTGCAATGATTTAGAAATTAAACAGTTCTGAGATTTACTTTTGTAGTTTTTACTTTTTAATTATGGCCCTTCATAATTTCAAATGACCCCCATATTTTTATAGAGGATCAGAAATGACCCCAAAAAAATCTAGTCTGGCAGAAACACTTAAATTTATCTGCATGCTGAAATAAGCTGATTAAAATGTATGGATGTGAACAATAGACTATTTTGGAAGCTCTGTTAAGTTCTATTCATAGTTAAAAAAAAACAGGAAGAAAACGATTGAAATCATTTTTTTGGTTTAACAAACCTCAGGCCTCATGTCAATTTGAAAATTTAATATTTTAAAGCATAGAAGGGTGATTAAATAAGTAGAAATAGTGTGATCAAATAATGTAATTTCAGCTAATACTCTGGTAAACAGCCCATTCAATCCCCACCAATAACGTGAACCTATGTTGCTTGAATCTCTCTTTAGGGCAATGGATATATGTAATGATAAATAATGAAATAACTTACGATGTTCGTAACACGGCAGCTGGAACTGAATTACCAAGAACATCATTGGTCACTGCACACACATATCTTGCCTATAGCATATATAATCAAGTCATTTAGAAAGTCATTCATTTAATTCAACACCTGTTTTCTACAGCATTTCAGTAATTTACTAAAAGATATAATTCATTATTAAAACATGATTATCTGTAAACAAACAGATACTCCACATTGATGGACAAGTCCATTTAAGATATTAAGCATGGTAGGAGTTAGCCTGATGATTATCTATAAAACATGAGCAGAAGAATCAGAAGAATTTTAAAATTCCAACGAAGGGAGGTAATTCAAAATGTTTTTCTATCAAATTTACCTGTTTGTTTATAAGGGCCGTTTTGGTATCTCTGTCTTTAATATCTGTGAAGTTAACGTCTATCAGATCTTTCAGCTTGATTGGTTTGCCACTCATTGGACACCGTACCTTCTCATCCTAAAAAAAATAACAACATAAGTTAAGTGACATTATCATCATTATGCCCATCCAAAAGGTATAAACAATGTAGTGAGTGAACAAGCGAAATTCACAAGAAGTTAGTTATTTGACATAATTACTTTCAATTTTTTAATTTACTTCGCATGAACAATAAATAATGTACTTGAACCAATGAAATTTCTGTAAGTATCTATCAGAAATTCCCTGTATAGTTCAATTTATAAAAAGAGTAGGGCAGTCTTTTTATATTTAAGGCAGATTTACATTTTATCCTAAACATTTTCCAATATCAACAGTTGGTGAGTCACCACTATAACAGTCAACCTTTTGAAATACTGCGAATTCACTTATTTTCGTGGGCATGAAAATTCGTGGTTTTATCAAAATGGGCATTTTCTTGGGTTCTTAAATTAGTGGATTTTCAATTTCTTGTAAAAATAATAAAATAAATAACCTAATGCAAAGTAATCTTACATTAAATCGCCGCATATTTTACTTACCGCATGTACATACGATCTTTACGTGTCACACAGCGCTTGTCAATAAATTTAATTCTTGTCTCAGGGCATTCATTACACAAAAATCAGCAGAAAAGCGTCGATGCACGTTTGTAATATATAGAATAGAGACATGGCAAGAAGTATGTATCTTAAATTCTTTGACCTACCCATGAAAACCACGAAAATTTGTGCCCCCGGTTAATAATGATTTTACAGCATATGTCTTTCAAAAATATGTCTTTATTTAAAATATAACATTAAATCATACTGGTTTCTTCTCGATTTTTGGACCAGCGTCAGGGGTGAGTGTAGGAACCCAGAAACTTGGTAATTCTTTATGCTTTCCATCCTTCATGTTAGAAACAGATGCTTGACTACTGGTACCTAAATAAATATAGAAATCTGTGAACTATTGTATGTTGAAAAATGCTGTTATGTAAGACATGTTGCTCTGATTAAACAAACAACTGAATTTATTTAGATGGGTTTTAAGGTACAGTCTTGGTGTGATTTAAGTCATATGGTTTTTTTCAGCTTTATGGTCATATTTTATATGCCATCATTTTGATATTTTCTTTCTTTCTTTGTGATTTTTTAGTCATATTAATACTATAATGGTCATATGCTTTCATTTGGAATAAAGTAGAATGAAAACTTTCAGGTTTAAGCAGTGGTCCATTACTTAATGAACTCCAAAAACTCTTAAGCTCAATAGGTAGAGCATTGGATTATTAATGCAAGGGGCACTGGTTTGATCCTCAGGTGTTGCTTAATTTCTCTGTGACAATTAATCTTGGACATTGAGTCAAAAGATCATTGAAATCATTTGGAATTAGATGTTAGTTGCTTGCCGAAAAAAATAGTAATTACTGGTTAGTTATCAAGGACTACATATGACAAAAATTGAGATAAAATCTGTGTAAAAAACAGAAAAAACAGAAAAACAAACAAACATGATCAAATTAATGTGTTTTTAAAGACATGAAAACTTAGCAATAGAAAACAAGCAATTTATCCAGCTTACCTAGTTGATTTGTTTTGACTTACAGTGCTTATGCTAAACAAAAAGTGACAAGATTACCTGGTTGATTTGTTTTGAGGGATGGAGCTTCAAGAGTTCGACTGGAAAATTTCTTCACTTTTTCTTGCTCTTCTAACTTCTGTATTTCTTCAGCTTCAGTCTAAGATATCAAATATTTATTCTGACAATTTAAACAAAGTAAAGCTAGAACAGTGAAAGTATACTATAAATTAAAACTAGAAATGTGTCATCATGCCACGGATGCCCCCGCATGCAGCCAAAATTTCAGATGTTATAATATTTAGTTCCAAATTTGTTTGCACAAATTATTTTTTTCATTTTAAGTTCAAAGCCCTTAAAACTTTTCAATGTTAACACAAACCATTTCCATACAATGTTCAAGGCACTGAAATTATTCAGTCTTAACCTTTTGAAAATAGCATATTTCATATTTGTAGCCAAAATAATGGCTACATACATTTCCACAAAAGTATGAGTGCTGAAACTGAAAGTTCAAAATTTTTCCAACATTCAAGAAAGATAAGTTTGTCCAAAATCATTGAACTACGACCAAATTCAAACTAAAACTGCTTATTCCTAAGATGTATCTATATTATTTTCAAAGTGGAAGGGACATAACTCTGCCAAAAAAATCATCGAACCATGACCAAATTCCAACTTGACCTGCCCATTCCTTTGACATATCCATATGTCAAATTTGAGTTGAATATGTAACACTGTTGGGTAGATAATGAACAGAAACTGTAAATTTCATATTATTTTCAAAGTGAAAGGGGCTTTACTCTGCCAAAAATCATTGAACCATGACCATATTCGAACTTGGCCTGGGCATTCCAAAAACATATCCATATGTCAAATTTGAGTTGAAGTGTTATACCGGTGGGGGAGATAATAGACAGAAACTGAAAATTTCATATTATTTTCAAAGTGAAAGGTGCATAACTCTGCCAAAAATCATTGAACCATGACCAAATTTGAACTTGACCTGCGCATTCCTTTGACATATTCATATGTGAAGTTTGAGTTGAATATGTTGTACCGTTGGGGAGATAATGAACAGAAACTGAAAATTTCATATTATTTTCAAAGTGAAAGGTGCATAACTCAGCCAAAAATCATTGAACCATGACCAAATTTGAACTTGACCTGCGCATTCCTTTGACATATTCATATGTGAAGTTTGAGTTGAATATGTTGTACCGTTGGGGAGATAATGAACAGAAACTGAAAATTTCATATTATTTTCAAAGTGAAAGGGGCATAACTCTGCCAAAAATCATCGAACCATGACCAAATTCGAACTTGACCTGTATTTTATCATGACATATCCATATGTCAATTTTGAATTGAATGTGTTGTACCGTTGGGGAGATAATGAACGGAAACTGAAAATTTCATATTATTTTCAAAGTAAAAGGGGCATAACTCTGCCAAAAATCATCGAACCATGACCAAATTCCAACTTGACCTGTATTTTATCATGACATATCCATATGTCAAATTTGAATTGAATGTGTTGTACCGTTGGGGAGATAATGAACAGAAACTGAAAATTTCATATTATTTTCAAAGTAAAAGGGGCATAACTCTGCCAAAAATCATCGAACCATGACCAAATTCGAACTTGACCTGTATTTTATCATGACATATCCATATGTCAAGTTTGAGTTGAATGTGTTGTACCGTTACGGAAACTGAAAATTTCATATTATTTTCAAAGTAAAAGGGGCATAACTCTGCCAAAAATCATCGAACCATGACCAAATTCGAACTTGACCTGTATTTTCTCATGACATATCCATATGTCAAATTTGAGTTGAATGTGTGCAACCGTTACTAAGATAATGAACGGAAACTGATGATGACGGAATGACGGAAGGACGGAATGATGGAAGGACGGAACAGGGTAACACTATATGCCCCGGCCATTACATGGCGGGGGCATAAAAAAAAATACTGTATAGAAATGCTAGGATTTAATGCTTAATTCACTGCCTGACTTTTCATTTTTCATGTTTAAAACACAAATAAGATACAAACAAACAGACAAGTCATTTACTCAGCTTGTGGTCAGTTGTTTTTCAACCCTAAGAATACTCTTCTACCAAAGTATACACCCTTTTGCTTTCAGTACACAGCCAGGTCTTTCGGCACACCTATGCAGTCTTACCAGTCTGTAACCTTTGGCCTGCTATATTTCTTAAATGGCCGTGTTGAGCTCCCAATTTTGGAAATAACATTTTTGGGTATATCAAGACGAAAATTTAAAGTTGATCAGCAAACAGTCAAACTGCTCGACAGTACAGACCAGTCTGTCTTTATACTGTAACTGGTGGCAAAGGCTAATCACTTCCAGCAGTGTAAGAGTTATACTGTTGACTGACCAATGTTAGCTTTTCATCTTTCACACCCTAAACCTGATAATGGGCAGCTCCCAATATGAACACAGGGCAAGTCCATTCATAAAAGTTCAGTATGAACAGGTTTAGTAAATTTATCATATTTATGTTACAAAATACCTTAGCTCTCTGTTTCTGTTTTTCAAATTCTTTAAGTTTCCTGGCAATTTCCTTCTTCTTTTGTAGAATATAACTGATGATTGCTTCTTTGTCGTATAGATACCCATCTTTCCTGCAAAAAATACAACATGTAAGATAAAAACAGAACTTTATTGGTATCAAAGAACACAACTTTGACCAACTCTCTAAAATTTGCATTCCCTTCTCTTTAAAATACAATAAACAATAAGTCATAAAGCCAATTGTTTTCAACAATTTTAATGAACATTCTTACACTATCGGAAATTTTCCTATATAGACAAAGAAGGTCGGAAGCGTGCATTATTCTACAACAATGCACTCGCCGTTCTTATTATCTCCCTGTGTATTTTCACATTGAGGGCGCCATTTTGTTTAAAAAAATCTGATAAATAAAAACAATATTTTGTCGAATTTTGTTGTGAAAACTATCTAGAATGAAAGAAAATGGTCTAACTAAGAAAATTAATCCGAACACCAATATCTTTAATTCAGTCGTTAACGTTGTACAGGCGTTTAAAGTGTTGTTTACGTGACTCACAATGTAGCGCCAAACAGCACGTGCAAACAATCAAATCAAGTACCCTATTTTAATGTCGCAAACGAGTTAAGTTTTACATTTATTTCACTTTTAATAATTTGTATTTCGCTTGAAAAATTATAGAGTGAAATAAAAATAAACAAACAAAGTTTTTATCAACGTTTTTCAAAATTCATTATTTCTCAAAAATGTTTCTACACACGGTAGATTTAACGACAGTTTTTTTCAACCCACTGGAACAGCCTTTAAAGAATGTTTCTATTGGAAACTCTGAGACGAAAACAAATTAAACCACCGAACATAAAGTCCAACTTTAAAATAATAATTATATTTTTTCTTGATGTGTTAGAATGGAAATACATTGTAGATATTAATTCTTCGTGCATTATTGAATTTATTGTATAATAATGCATGGTTTTCGTTCAAATGCTTTGTAATTAATCACTCAGGCCTATTGAACTCAAACCGTGCATTATTCTACAACAATGCACTCAGAATTGATATCTATTTCCTAAGTATATTCATTGAATTTCTGTTGGAGCTGTATGTCCCCAGATTCATGTATCCCTGAGTTTTCCCATGCGTAGAAAGAATCAAAAAATAAAAATTTTCCCCCCGGGGGGGACTAACCGTTTCTGGTATTTTCCAAAGTGTAAAGTTCTGACCATCTGTTAAACTTCTCGCTACAACTACCTTGTAAGCCCTTATCACCTCTTTATTTTTGCCAACTGGAAAAATTGTTGTTTTTTCTGCCCCGGGGGTGGGCAGTTTTTGGTGCGAAGGGGGGTAAATTTGGAAACAATGTTTTTTTGTTTGTTTGTTTCATTTTAGCCCTTTTTCCCCCCAGGTATTTCAAATCATAAAGGGAGTTTGGTTTTCCCAACCCATTCCCCTTTCCCCGGGGGGTTACACCAAATATTTTGACTACCCTTCTCCCCTTGGGTTAACTACCAAAGCATTTTCCCAGGGATCGGGGCCCCGCCCGAAAGGTAATTTGGGTTTGGCCTGTGTTTCTTACGTGACAACAGGGTTTCGGCGATGGCCTCTTGTAGCGTTAGACAACAGCAGTCAAACTCCTGAAATTATAGACATACATGTGTATTTGTGCATACAGAATATAAAATATACTTTTACACTAGAAAATATGTTACATAAAACTCAACTGTTTTGTAATAGAAGGATAGACACGCAACGACAGTGTAACTGGCAGACAATTGCAAATTTATTACTCCTCCCTATGGCTCCTCTTAATTAGAGGAGGCATTAAAATGAACAAGGTATGCAGAATCTAGATTTTTATAAGTTACTTTTACTCTAACTCTTAATATTCATATACATTGCAAGAATTCAAAATTTCAAAGTGTGTTGATCAAAACTTAGTTACATCAATACATTTTTATGAAAAAATCTATCATAACCCTGGCTGTAAAATTGTGACCTTGACCTTTGAGCTTGTGACCTGATTCTTGCTCAGGACACATCTTCACTAGCTCCAACCTACATGTATTTATGAAAAATTAATTTAAAATCCATCCAGGATTTCTCGACTGGACAAATATATTTTCATGAAAAATTCTGTTAAAATCTAAGTGTGACCTTGACTTTTGACCTAATTGTCTGGACACAAAGCCGGCAGACAGAAAGATTGAAGGACAATTCAAAAACATTATGTCACCGTTGGAGGGCAAAAACAATTAGCATTTTTGTAACTCCCATGAAAGCATTTGTCCAATCGGGGTGTCTTTTTTGCACCATCCATTTATAATTACAAAATTGTGTAAATGTGGTTGCCAGGGAGACAATATTACCTTTACAGAATCCTTTCCCAAGTTCAATTTTTTACTGCCAATTCCCGACTGAGACTATTTTCTGGGCTTTCTGATAGGAAAAAACAGGTTTCCTTTCAGTGCAAATTCCCTTTAAACCCTGTCCCTGATTTAAATTTTTAACCCGAAAAAAAAAATTTAAAAATATTATTAACTTTTAAACCTGCCCGAAAGTGATTATAATGCATTTTACCACCCAGTATAAAACCCAAAATGGAAATCCGGGGCAAACAGGATCTGACTAACCCCCAATACCCGTTGAAGACCCCCAAACCCCTTAAATTTTCAAAAAATTTAACCCCCGATGGGTAAGGTCATTTTCCAGTCAAAAGCCCCGGGCAACCCCGAAAATTCACATTTTATTTTCAAATTTTTAAAATCATTTGATAAAATTTTCGATGAAACCCCTTAAAAAAACCCCCGGAGGAAATAAAAAACATTTAAGCTATTGAAAAAATACTTAAATTATTTGAAAAATTGGAATTAACCTGTATAAGGCCCTATTTTCCCAAACACCCATTAAAAAACCCCCCCTGTTTGTTCCCTATTTAAACAGCCTAAAAATTTAAAACAGGGAATATAAAAACCCCCAGTGTAAATATTCCCAGATTTTTAAAAAGTAAAGAATTTTCATTTTCTTTAAAATTTGGGGGGGTTTACAAGTCATTGGATTAGTGACCCCCCAAGGTCTTACACTAACCCCCCGAGTATGTTTTTAAAGGGTTATTTCTGTTTTTGGGTTGATTTTTCTCTTTTGTATTACAAGGGGATCGAGCAGATTGATGCCAATGTGTAAGATGGTGTAGCGTTGTACGGTGGTTTGATTATTATTGTAAGTGCTTACAAAGTAGTAGATCTATTTACAACGTTCTCTTTAACATCATGACTTTGCATGCCCAGTGGCCATATTGGATTATGTATTAAGATAATATCATAGCTCTATTTTTAGAATGTTTATTTTTTGAATGACATCATTATTCTGTTTTAAATCTCCCGGAAGTATACAGAGCTGACTCATATACTATAATATAGGCTCGAATTGCTGACATTGAGAGTCAGGTCCTTGGTCCTATATGGGGAGATAATAAAAAAAATGTCTATACACACATGCTACAATAAAAAGAATTAAAGCGAATGTATTTTTTTTAACAAAATAGATTCTCTTTAAAATAAAAATTGCGTAAGATTTGAAAATATTTTATATATGTTACCTAAAACTGATTCTCGTCCAGCAGATTACCAAATTATGGTCAGACTTTATAACACTGTTTAAAAATAAAATTGTTAGGTTTTCATCTGTTGTACTGGGGGTCCTACATATTACTGGGGCAAAACAGGTTTTTTCCGGCCAAAACCCATTTCCCCAAAAAGTTTTTTTGTTTTTTTTGGGGTTTGAATTTTAAAAATCCCCCTACCCCTTAAAAAGACACCACTTTTTTTATTTAAAGTAAATAACCCCCCCAAAAACCCCTCTCATGTAAAAATTGGGTTTATTCATTCTTTATCCAACCCTTTCCTTTTGTTTATCACTTTTTCCCCCGGGGCCAATGGTCATGCCCGGGGGGAAAAATTCTGTTCTGCGGGAGGCCTGAAAATGGAACCCCCTTTAAAGGGGTTTTTTTTAGGGTTTGGTTTTTACTTTTAAATTCTTTTTCACGTTTTTTTCAGGAGACCAAATCGGGAACCCTATTTTAATGATTTTAAAAAATTTAAATTTTTGTCCAAAATGTTTTTCTTCGTTTGTTTTCGTTTACAAAGAAATGCAAATTAAAAGCCATATAAGGAAACGGGTTATGAACATGGGAGGAAACTCTACATGAAATTTAAATCAGATAGATTTTATGGCTTTTGTAACATGCTACATGATGACCAAAAGGAAACTGTATGACAAATAACAGAATTCCATAAATTTGAACATCAAATTGTTTCATGCGTTTAAGATTCATGAAGAACCAATACGTTAATTGAGTTAATAGTGTTAATTTTAATTACATCCCATATATTGACCTCTTCGTAAATTGCGTAGCTGCCGTGTCTAGTTTGAGAGACATATTGTCTTTTTTTCCAATATCTTAACCTTGTTTTTCAATAGTCGTAGTTTCCTTGCTGATTTTTTAAAGATTAATTTCAATTCACGACTTCAAAAAATTTTTGAAACGCAATGTCCGGTAAATTGAGCTGTCTACACGATTTTTTCTCTCTTATAATGCCCTACTTTAAAGACACATCTCTACGGTCAAATGTTTAATTTCATGTTTGTTAAAGTAATGTTTACTTGCATTATGAACCCAATATTATTTGGGTAAAATTCCATTCTTTTTTATTGTTTTAAATAAAAGTTACAGCGAAAAAAACATCATATTTTGTCCGGTTATATGTAGGAACTAGGATCCCAGTATAGATAATTTATAAAAATAAAATAGTCTATTACTAAAAAAACAATTAAAAATAACAAACAAACTAAGTAAAATTAAAAAGACTGAAATGCATATTCTTCACTATCCTTATGCTATACCTTGAAGCTTAACAAATAAAAAAAGACGTTGTTGTTTTCTCCAGGAATAAATTTCTGCAAATGGTGGTAAAATAAATAAGGGAGATAACTTTAATTGAATTAACATGTTGATTTATCCCGTTCCCTGCCGTACCGAAACTGGTTCGTGTGAAATACTATTCGCCGGTCCAGTCGCTTCCGGTTTTCCGCCTCTCCGCGGGTAATTTATGACCGGCAAATAATTTAGTATCGATTCGTATTTATACTGGCCGGGTCTGTGTTGGTCTCCAAAAAAATATTTTTTGTTGATATAATTTTATATAAACTGGGGACAGAAGATAGCTTATTACCCATCTTCTGTACAAGATATAAATACTTATAAATAATGCACTTAAAATATATTCATTGTAAGATACTAAAACATGTTAAAAATATTATTGTTATTCGTATAATTAGAGTATTATTATATATACTGTATGTTTTCCCCATTTGAAATGTTTTGGTTGTATACTGTGTCATCTTAGTTCACAGTACTGGGTAACGATTTGAAACAGCAATTAAGGAAAACAAACAATAAACTTATGGCACAAAGATATTTATAAGCTGTAATAGATTCTATTTAGTTATTTTCTGCTGTATGACACAAGGAAATAACAACATAGTCAATCAAAATCAGATTTAGTTAATGGGTCAGACGTAGACCATAGATCAACTATTTTGAAAACGCTACGTACATTTGTCATCATTTAAATCGCGGTAAATGGTGTTACACTCTACATTTTATATGTTTCATTTAAAATTAATAAATGTTATACTGTTCAATTTTAGATATTAAAACTATCTTTACTTTTTAACTCGAAATTCCTTTTTTTTTTCCAACAAACAAGAACATTTAGAACATGATGATTGTTTCAGACATTTTTACTGCCTTTCTATAGTACAAAAAAAATCGATCTTGTTTATCATATTTCAAACACTAATATTCAATACGATTTTTTTCCATCAATGAATCCATTATAGATTATGACTAAGTTTAAATTTTATTTAAAAAAAAATATAACTGCCATAAAAAGTTATTAAAAGCAAATTACCATTCATTTTATCTAAATAAAAATCTTAGTAAAACCAGTTATTAAATCATGATTTCTTTTATATTGTCTTTGTAAAACTAGTCACCTTTGTAATTTACAAATCATAATTTTCAATTACCTAATTATAGGGCTTGCCCAAAGAAAATGGAAAAACAAAGATAGTTAAATATGGTGTACAATGTAACACATCTATTTGCCACAATCTGTGACTATTAATTTCATTAGACCTTGGGAAAGTAATAAACCAATCAATTATGCAGTTTAAACATTGAAGTCACTCAAGCATGTTGATAGATAAAGATATCTGCCAAGCCCCCAGACAGGAGATTAACAACTGGATGACAACAATAAATGTTTTGATAAGGGAGTACACTACAGCAAATAAAGTTTGAAACTGACAAAAATGTAATCCATCCCAGCTGGTAAACGTATCTTTGGGCCGAGCTGGGGGCAGCCCTGAAGCCCGGGCCTAAATCCGCCACTGAATAACCTGGCCCGGCTTTCACTAACGTTCTCAAACTGAGATATATCTCAACTTAAGATTGTCTCAGTGTTGACTGAGATTCTTACTCACCTGAGAAAAATCTCACGTTGGCTTTCACTAAACTTTTTCTCAACATTTGAGAATTTTCTCAACTGAGACTGTTTTTTTTTCTCTCAAGACATAAGGCTTGATAAGCGGCTATCTTAGTGTACATTGTTGATGGGCTTCTATGACTAAAACATAGAGTGTTCCTTTTTGTTACGTAGTATATCATGTATTTATTAATATAGTTGCTGTTTTGATGTAAGATGACGCAACAGGGAAATGTTTTGTATATTTATTACATTAAGAAGATCTATATTTTCTTGTTTTATTTAAAAAGAACATTAACAACAAGAAACAAACAATGACAAAAACAACAAAAAGCAATTGCAAATGTGTGAATATTTGAATGCTTATGAAAATGATTTATCAAGAATGAATGTACATCAAAATAAAACAAAATCATCTTCAGTATGATAATTGTGACGTCATAATTTCATGACGTCATGATTTAGAGCGCATGATGTCACCCACAATAATCAGTCAATATATTACTAAATATAAGAAAATGATAGGAATTTAATTGCCAAAAAGGTCAAATTATGTTTATTTATCAAAATAACCATGCAAAAAGTAAAAACACCCCTGAGAATAATAATTTAGCTTCACTGAGACATAATCTGAGACAGCCAAACCTTGTCTCAATATGTCTGAGAAAAATCTCAAATCTTAAGTTGAGATTTTTCTCAATATTTTTTAGTGAAAGCCAAACTGAGAAAAATCTCAATCTCAATTTCTGATTTGAGAAAAATCTCAGATTTGAGCTGAGATTTTTACTTTGAGAACGTTAGTGAAAGCCGGGCCAGTTCTAATACTTTCTGTGTCATCCTATGACTACAACAAAGTGTAAACACCAGTCTCAAGGTTATGACATAATGAAAGGCTTGGGTAATATTTCTCCATTTCGGAATAAGGTCTTCATCGAGTTCTAGCAAGTCCTGCATTCCAAGTCACCCGATCTAAACATCACAATTGTCGGCTGAATTGAACAGGCGTGTGAGAAAGCGACAAAAAACTCCTCGCAATTTGCTGGAACACGAGCAAACCCTTATTAAGGAATAGAGATATGTGAGGCAGAGGTGTATACTTTGTTATAGCCAATTGGGAGGACATACAAAGTGTTAAAACTGGTAAAAATACAGATTTAATGGGATTCAGAGACTCTTCATTGTGTTACGATTTTTACAGTCATTTTATGACTTTTCATTTTACAGTAGCATATTTGTTTTGCTATTTTTCTATTTTCTTATCAGTGAATTGTAAATAGAATTCCAAGAAGTAAGTAGATCTATGATAATTAAATGTCAGTGTAAATGCCTCTGAGTGTATAGTGTCAAATATTGTATTATAGATTGTTTTGATCAGTTTTAAAAGAATTAAATTTAAGATGTATCAAGGCCTTTTTTCACATGTTGGGGAAGCAGCCCTGCCCTTTATTTTGAAGATAAATTACACCGTATATTTGCAAAGGGGAGGGGGAGGGAGAAAAAACTTGATATAAATTCAATTTTCGGGGAAAACTGCATGATTTTAAAGAACTTTCTTTGGGGAAGCAGCCCTATAACGATCCCTGCTATAGAAGGGAAAAAAGCCCTTTATATACATCTTAAATAGAAAACCACATAAACCAGCGGCAAACTATTGTTATTGATAACCCATAATCATCCGTCTGACTGTGGTTATAGGGGGAGAATCACGCCGTTCGTTACCCAAACAAACAAGATGGCGGAAGCAGCCAAAAAGTAGGTTTTTCCCTTTTTTCTCTGAAATTCGTGATGTTCTAATGTAAAGGTACGTATAACAACCTTCTACATAATTTTCCTTACACACAAGATTTTATTTCATGATGTTTCGTCCCGTACTTCATCTCAAATGCGCGTCACCAGATTCGAAGCAGAGGATTTTCCACCGGTTTGATCGTGGTAACGTACGGCTTTTTCTCTCAAATTCACTGTTTCTTTTACATATATGTATATTAACTGAAACCACTGACTTAAAAAAGTTGTAATATGTTGTCAAGTAAGCAATCATGCCAATTCTGGCTAGATTTACTGCTGTAAATATTAATATCGGGGCACTTTCCGGATATGATAACGTATGGCGCACAAAATATCAATGATAACGTACGGCGCATTTTACTAGTTGGTGGATTTTCATTTGTCCAATCAGCTGATAACGAATTATCTTTATGTAGGAAATGATAGATATCTGAAAAAATGTCGGTCCGGTCAGAAATAATTAATTTAACAATGCTGTACTATCGGAAATAAATATCTTTCTAGCTGATGGCATAATATATATTCGTTGTTAATATACCAATTAAAACACACGTGTATAGTTTGAGAATATTTTGTATAAAATGCGGAATGGGAAGAAAAAGTCTCCACTTTAAGGAAACATTTGTGTGTTGTTGTCTTTACATTAAATTTCGCCAGTGTTGTGCGATAATTATGGTCTTATCCCCTAATTGGAAAGAAGAAACGCATTCAGCAGAGCAAAAATGTTAAAAAAGGTACGGAGGGCTTGATATATTTTCTTTTCCAAAGAAAAAGTCTAAAATCATTCCTAACAAATTTCTGATAAGGAAAATCTTATTATTTGAACCCGTCAACATTTACAAAACGAAAATTGATTGCGACTAGGTTACACCCAGATGAGATGAGCCTGTGTTTATTCAATATGGTCGCTCATTGAAAGAAAAAATACATAACAGAGAAAAATGAATGAATGCAGGTTCTATAATGAGTTTATTGAATGAGTTAGAAAATAATGTTATGCGAAAAACTTCAATGAATTTAGTAAATAAAAAATTTCTGTTTATTAGACGGGCGGTTAATATTGAAACGCTACCATTAAGCGACACGTTGTGCCACTATGGCG